CTGATGGTCTCTACACTGTACAATACAGTAGACCTTTACAGTATCTGTCAGTGAATGAGATGAGTGCAATGTCTATTGATCAGCTCAGGGAATCGTTTGTACATGAATCCGTTCAACTTTATTTGGAAGACACTTCTGTTCTCTCGAAACCAAAAAGACAAGAAGTAAAAATCAATTACACTGTCCATCTCCAATCTTGTACCAGTGCCAGTTTTTCTGGTGGCAATAATCAGAATTCTGCAACACTCACTGCTCATAAGAAGCTCTGCTCTGGATCTGATACAGCTAAAGGTAAAGTTGGCAAAGGTATTGGCATATCTACTACATGGTTTGGTAAATATAAAGCTAAAAGGACAGCTAAGGCTAAGAAAGTATATACAGATATAAAAAGTGGACTAACTAGGACTGCTGTAACATACTACAACAATGGCCCAGACTGTGAAGCTGACGAGTATGCCTATGTATGGTCAAATATTAAAGATACTGTCTATCTTTGTAACCTGTACTACAATCTTCAAACGTCTTGCAGTAAGACTGCTGAAAGCAAGGAGGGTACTCTGCTTCACGAATGGTCCCACAGTTTTGGTGATACTGAAGATTATGAGTACGGCCGTACTGATTGCAAGGATTTGGCTAAAAAAAGGCCCGGTAGAGCAGTCAAAAATGCTGATAGCTTTGCATATCACTATTGTGATGCTCAGTAATGGAGCTCGTCAGCTAAAAGCCAAGAACTTTAGGACTCATGCAACACTATAGGACAAGCACAGTTTATTTTTAGGCCTCTTTTTGCTTAGCTGTAAGGCCACTCCAATAAGATTCATAGTTTCCCATTACAGAGGCGGGCCTGATGCGGGCGGGCGGGTTTGTTCATTTTCATTAAATTTATTCATTATCAGCTGTATAAATTGCTTGTATAATCAATGAAAAACCGCAATAATGAATAGCGATGCGGCCCCATGCGGGCGGGTAATGGGAAACAAGGAATCAAATTGGAGTGGCCTAATATTACATTTTTGATTAATTAATTATCTTGGCTTAATGATCATTAATAAAATTGAATTTAAAATATCAAAACTGAGCATATAGGCATGCGACAATAAGCAAGAGTACTCTGGCAATGGACCTTTTGCACTTAAGCGATTCTAATTAACGCGCCACCAAAGTGGTGGTAAAATGGCGGATTTTGAGAGGA